AGCGTTATAAACATCCGGAAATCATATTCATTGAATTTACGCACGGTCGCTGAGGTTTCCCCCTGCCTCTCAGAACAAGAGGACCGAAGCCTTAGGAGGTTCTGATATCACCGACTATCGTGTTGGGTATGCGTGCAAGAAGGGATTAAAACCAGAAAGCCCGAACCAAGACGACTTCTTCGTCATCGGCATTGACGAACTCGGGATGTACCACTCCTCGCGCATATCATCGATCCTCCTATTCGACCAGGTTTGGCGTATTCGACGGCCACGGTCCCTACGGTCACGATGTTTCCAGTTTCTGCCATGATGCATTACCAGGAGTAAATGATTTGTACGATTTGTGGTAACAACTCTATATGCAGTTGCTCATCAAGGATGAGGAATTCTACACTGAACCTACCGCGGCTTTCACTAGAGCCTTTAAAGACACTCACTGTAAGTTCTTATCACTAGTATAATTATCGATCATTCCCGACTAGATATATACTAGAAAATATGTCATTGTAAATTTCCTGAACTGCATTGTTCGGACTGCATCTGCTACGATTATTCTCAGTGTTGTGTGAGCAAGCAAGCTCACGGGGGAAGTTCGACTGTTCACTCTCTGGCACTACAGCGACGGTGGTCATGACCCGAGATGAGACCATATACTGTGCTTGGGTTGGTGACTCTCGAGCAGTTATCGGCACTACTAATGTAAGGCGAAAATCTGCTTGTACTTGTTCTCGAATCGGTTAACCACGTATTGTTGTTCTTGGTCAACAAAAAAGTCTATTAGCACTTCTCTTTTCCTAGCAATGTGTTTCTAATCCGTCTGTGCGACTTTTGTCTGAGTCATCCTTTCAGGCGGACGGCGAAATCATCGCTGAAGATCTTTCGAGAGACCACAAGCCCGAGCGGCCGGATGAAAAAAGCAGAATTTCCTCCCGAGGGGGGCAGGTAAGAACAAACATCGATTTTTGACACTCCACAAATGTTTCTGGTGAATGAGAAATCCGAGCCGGTGGTGTCCGAGTCATTAGGAAATCACCCGAGCTCTCCTTGCCCGACATTCGCGGTCAACCGTTTGCTCGCCTGATCATGGGTGTTCTCGTATGTGTTCAAGTTCGAAGTCCAACACCGACAACGCAGCTTAGTTAAATTCGCATCGACGCACATTAACCCTCGAGAGATCAGTTTTTAGTCTATCAAGTTGGCGATTAAGGAATGTTGTCCGCAGAGGGGGTAGTTTTAGCAAAATACTTTATTCATTTGGGCGTTCTTGTTCGATTCGCGAATAACGAATGTCGTGGTTTTTCTGAAGTACATCGATTCAGGTTCGGAAATTAGAGGGTGACATACCGTATCGAGTATTCCTCAAAGGTAGGCAGCCAGCAAGCATTTTCATCGCAGTTGTCTGCAGGCAAACTCTACCCGGGCCTTGCGATGTCGCGTTCCCTTGGTGACTCTGTTGGAGCTAGTGCTGGAATTACATACGAACCCGAGATCAGAATCAGGTAGCGTCTGTTATCATCGTGTTTCCTTGACGGTTCATTAGGAAAATCGATCGAGCTCGAGATCGATTCGTGGTCCTGTGTAGCGATGGTGTGTGGGAATTCATCACCAGTCAAATGGCGGTAGAATTAATCAGTGAGTTGCTTCTAGCCTCTGTCGTGTGCATGCGTGCAGTGGTAGATCGTTACACCCCTGGAGAAGTTCAGACTGCGGCTGAGGCACTTGCCCAAGAGGCTTGGAAACGATGGATTCAAGAGGAAGGGAATGTCGTGGATGATATCACAGTCGTTGTCGCGTGGTTGGGTGATGACGATGAGAGTTTGCGAGGAAAGAAGAGCTCTCGGGAATCTTTATGGTGAGCATCCGTCTCTACTTGTAGTTTGTTATTGCCTGTCTCTTTTCAGATGAGGTCGTCGTTGAGATGTAAAGTAAATATTCGTGATCTATTATTTTCCCTACAGCAATGCTGCGTCGATTGAACTCGACTATTACTATTGAATGTGCCTGGCGTATTCGTTGGGTTACTATCATGTTTGAACGAAAACCA